CGGAGGAGGAGTATAACCTGCTTGGGCGTAATCAACCTCGTGGAGACGACGACCCGCGCGGCGAACGGCGTTGAGAGAGTGCGTTTCGTGTGGACATCCTCAAATTCGACGAAGAGCAAGATGATGGGTCATTGTACGATGGTCCGCCCATTTTTGATGAGGAGCCTCCAGTGATGAAGACTTATTTATGCGATAGTATGGGTCCCGTGTGGGACGTGGCCGAGGTTGAGTCTTCAAATGGGAAGCCGTCGTTCATACCTGATTTTCGAAGTATCTTGGCCAAAGATAGTTTTTTGGAGCCAAAGCCGAGGCTCAATAACTGGTGGGCCATTTTTTGATTGTCTCTCGCGAAGTTTCCCAACAACGGGATGCTTTCCCGTAGTTATGGATTTGAGCACGGTGAACGATGTGGTATGTTTGGTTTTAATTATGCTGTGTGGGTTATGCGTAGGAAGGCGTGTATATATACCTTTGTAGCAGTACAACACTTGGTCAAGCTTATGTTTCCCATCGGAGTTGTTGGGCAACCTTTGTCTTTCGTATTCGATCGGGGGAAACGTTGGGCTATTCTTGTCATGGGGACGTCTCCAATTCGAGGGCGAATCATGCTCAATCAGGAGAGAATGGTGCAGAATAATTATTATGATTATTATTACTGTTATTATTATCATTATTAGTAGTAGTATTTTTATTATAATATTTTATTATTATTTCCTTCTTTCTAGTTGGTAGGAGAATATTTATTTATTTGGTATTTACTTGTTTAGCAAGATAGGGATTTAGACTTGAACTCTATATATTGTGTCCTTCTCCCTTTAAGCCGATTGGCTATCTTTGAATAAACTTATCGTATTTTAAGATTTTATATCTTATTCCCCTTTCGTTTATCGCTGCGCTACATCAGAAGGTATACGTGTTTGTTAAAAAATTATAATTTGTATAATTGTTAGATTTGGCTGTGGCCTTATCGACTATTACTTTGGTATTAATTTTAATTTTTTTATCTAATTTTGTATTTAAGATAAAAAAAAATAGACCTATAAATGTGTCTGAGCAGCTTGAGCGCTGGATGCTCGAGATAGAGCTCATACGTTTAATTAAGGCGAGCCGAGGTCGAGAATTTTAATATGTTATAACTAAATAAACTCGAGCTTAATTCATTTATCAATATTAACAAATCAAGAAATAAAAATTAAAATACACAAAGTTCCTACGTACTTATGAGCCTAAATCAAACATGTTTATAATGTAACGAAATTAAATTATTAAAAAAAATACTTATCATAATATTACAATAACTCAAAAACTATGACTACCTAAAACAACGAAACACGATCATTAATATTTTTTTGTCATACAACAACATATTTAATTAATTAATTTATATATGATAAATTAAATAATTTTAGAATTAATTGCTTATCGTCATCTTGTCCCTTTAAAGGGGAATGCATAAAGTATGAGGAGTTAATACGGCCGCCAGACATTTCTGCATGCTACAGTATAATTACTAATCTGTCCCTTTTGTGATTCATACATATATATATATATATATATATACAGACACACATATTATTGGTTTTAACTCTGAATTTGAGTTTTATTAACTTTTTTTTTATCTTCTCTCCATTTTATTATAAGTTATTTGAGGAAAAATGCAAGTGGCGAGAGGCGTGCAGTTCTCCACGGTGGTCGACGGCGAGCTGGCGGCGCTGGTCCACCGGAACGCGGTGGTGGTGTTCACGGTGGGCGGCTGCTGCATGGGCCACGTGGTGAAGCAGCTGCTGCTGGGGCTGGGCGTGGGGCCTGCCGTGGTGGAGCTCGAAGGTGGTGCCGAGATCCAAGGCCTCCTCCTCCGCCTCTCCGGCGGGCGGAAGGCGGTGGTTCCGGCGGTTTTTGTGGGCGGCGAGTATCTGGGCGGGGTCGAGGCGGTCATGGCTTGCCACATCAGCGGAGCTCTCGTCCCACTCCTCAAAAACGCCGGCGCTCTTTGGCTTTGATTAGAGGATATATATAATTAGTTAAATATAATTAACTTTTAGTTAATTATTTGAATTTTAACTTTTAGTTTGTGATGACTAATCATGGCCACATGTAAACAAGAGTATGTTATGCTATTAGCCATTGACGGAATTTTCACTATGATGATTATGTGTTTAATTAATTATTGTAATGAGACAAGATTAATTATCATTAATTAAGAAAACCCTATAACAATTATGAATTGAGAATCCATGCATTCTCAAAAGATATGGATTACAAATTGGTCTAATTTGAAAAAAGAAGAAAACAAAAATACATTTGATAATATTATTGACGGAACCATTTCGTCGGGGTTTGTAACCGTTAAACGATCAATAATATTTGACGGTTACAAACTCCGCGGAATGATTCTGTAAAAGAAACTTAGCATTTCCCTTAATTATTATACAATCTAACAACAACATTACTGTCAACGATATCGTTGTTTGTTTATTTATTTTTTTCCAACAAAAGGGTACACTTAAGATGCTTAAATATTCTCTGCATAGATTATTGGTTTGTTTTGCAATTAGATTAATCTTTAAACTAACTTTTGCAATCCTCCCATGTAATTTTATTTGGAATAGGTCCTTGAGTAATAAATATATATATTGTTTTAATGCCCTTAGGCCTTGAGTAATATATATGACCGAGGGCAGATGTGGTGAACACAGACATTAATAAAGTAGTCCCTTCATACATTTATTTTGCACTTTTTCTTTTGCTTTTCTTCCTTTCTTCTGTTTGTACTTTGTACTATTTTCATCCATTTTTTTTCATTACCATTTTTCATATTCTGTTAGGAAGATCATGATGATGTATGCAGTTTTGACTAATAAATTTTTCAATATTTGCATAGTTACAATATCTCCAAAATAAAATAGACTAGTACAACGCCCGTTTATTATACGGGTGTTTGCCATAAAGATAAATATAATTTATTTATTATATATATACAATATGGATGTCAAATCGAAACTCCTAAAAATGATTAATCTTATATATTACATACGTAATCCGATAAAAAATATTAAAGTTAACAACTTTTAAAACACGTTTACAATTCAACAGTTATAATAAGAAATGATATTAAAATACAATTAATACATCTAAAATGATCATAAATAAATCAACATATTTATGGTAATTCGAACCTAATTATTTTTGGATTGGAATTAAATTAAAACCTATCTAAGCCAAATAATAAATCATGTAATTTTGACACCTAGGATCCCAAAGATGTGAGCCTACCACTTAGGCTCAGTAAATTCGGGGGAATTATATATAGGGGATGATATAAGACAAATATGTAATTTTTTTTCTGGTTACGAAATAAACAGTTAAGTATTTTTATATCTACATCTGTTTTATATTTACACAATACCAAAAATTATATCGTAACGCGCTTCAATCAATTTAACTGCTTAAATTTATCTGTTTTTATAAATAATATTAAATCTATTATTTATTTATTTTTTTTTGAACAATAAAAAATTCTCATACCAAAAAATCAAGAGTACAGATCGGAGAATTCACTAGTTCTTACAATCGAAAACAAAAAATAGGAGAACCACAAATAATAGGGGGAAATTTTTGTGTATCCCGCACGAATATGAAAATATTTCATAAATACCATTCATCTACATTTAATTTTGTATCTACCTAATTGATAATAAGTAATTACATTATTCCTTA